CAACACCTGGGCAATTCCAGTCATTAGATACACAGCTGGAATAGTGGACTGGACTCAAGCAGAACTAAAAGCAATGGATAGGAAGACTAGAAAAATAATGACAATGAATCATGCCCTTCATCCATGCAGTAACATTGACAGACTCTATCTACCAAGGCAAATAGGTGGACGTGGAATGCTGCAAGCACATCAGATGGTTGAAGAAGAAAAAATGGCTTTGGAAGAATATCTGAAAAACAATGATGAAGATGCACTGAAATTAGTATATCAGAAAAGCTTGCTGACTACTGGAGAGACCAAACTGTTCTACAAGAAAGACCAAATGAAGAACAGAATAGAGGCATGGGAAGACAAAGCACTACATGGCCAGTACATTAAAAAAATAGCTGGGAAAGCAGATAATAACAAGACCTGGCAATAGCTAAGAGCAGGAAAGTTGAAGAAAGAGACCGAGGGACTAATTTGGACTTCACAAGACCAAGCCTTAAAGACAAATGCATACAAAGTCAAAATTGAGAAGACAGCAACAGACAGTAAGTGCCGCCTATGCAAAGAAGCTGAAGAAACAGTGGATCACCTGGTAAGTTGCTGCAAGAAGATTGCACAGACTGACTACAAGCAGCGGCATGACAAAGTAGCAACAATGGTGCATTGGAAGATCTGCAAGAAATATCATTTGCCTGTAAGCAAGAACTGGTGAGATCATAAAATAGAGAAAGTGATAGAAAATGATAAAATTAAACTGCTCTGGGACTTCAGAATTCAAACATACAAGCACCTGCAACATAACACCCTGGACTTAATAATTGTCGATAAGAATGACAAAAAAGTCTGGATAGTGGACGTGGCAGTGCCTGGAGACAGCAGAATAGACGAGAAAGAACTGGAGAAGGTAACAAAATACAAAGACCTACAAATAGAAATAGAAAGACTGTGGCAAAGGCAAGCAAGAGTAGTACCAATAGTCAGTGCTTTTTTTTCTAAAAAAAAAAAAAAAAAAGGTGCCGGAACTCACATACGTCATACAACCCGCCTTGCCTACCCTAAAAGGTTCCATCCAAAAAAGGTGCCAGAACTCCGTTCTGGGCGTTCTATGAGAAAAAAAAGCCCTGCCAATAGTAATAGGCGCCTTGGATGCAATCCCAAAACAACTGGAGCACCACTTGAACACCATTGGCATTGACAAATTCGCCATTAGTCATTTGCAAAAGGCAGGAACTTACTAGGAACTGCCTCCATCCTGTGATGATATCTGTAATAACATCAAACATCCACATCTGCCTATCCCAGGTCCTTGGTAAGGACTTGATACGTAGACAAAAATACCAAACCCAGTCTGAATATCTGGCTGACTGTGCGATGATCAATAATAATAATAATAATAATAATAATAATAAGAAGAAGAAGAAGAAGAAGAAGAAGAAGAAGAAGAAGAAGAAGAAGAGAAGAAGAAGAAGAAGAAGAAGAAGAAGAAGAAGAAGAAGAAGAAGAAGAAGAAGAAGAAGAAGAAGAAGAAGAAGAAGAAGTTGGAAAGGACCTTGGAGGTCATCTAGTCCAACCCCTGCTCAGGCAGAAAACCCTATACGATTTCTGACAAATGGCTATCCAGTCTCTTCTTAAAAACTTCCAGCGTTGGAGCATTCACAGCTTCTGGAGGCAAGTTGTTAATTGTTCTGACTGTCAGGAAATTTCTCCTTAGTTCTAGGTTGCTTCTCCCTTTGGTTAGTTTCCATCCGTTGCTTCTTGTCCTGCCTTCAGGTGCTTTGGAGAATAGTTTGACTCCCTCTTCTTTGTGGCAGCCCCTGAGTGACATAAGATATGTGATAGTTATGGGTGTTGCAGCTGCTGTATTTTCTTCCTTTCTGTCACTGTTGTGTGGCTGAATTGCTGCTTTCTAGATTCAGGGATGCTTCTGTTGCCTTTAATCATCAGGAACAATCTTCAGGCAGCCATAACATCTGATTCCCAGGAGCATTGAAATGGTTACACTGCTATGTAGTTGAGTGATGTCAGAAGAGAATAATTGCAGCTTTTTGTGGTAGCCATCCTGCCACTGGTGGTTTTCGTTACTTCCCACTATGCCCAGTGAGAGGATATTCAGTGGTTTTTAGATGCAGTATACAGAAACGCTGGCAGAAAAGAGAATAGTAATTAACTTTCAAGACCAGAGGTGTGTCCTTACCACAGTTTTTGATCAGGCTAGTTATGGATATCCAGGGAAGAAGGAGAATTTTTTCTATAAATGTTTTGAGACATTTCTGTCTTTATTTGTCATGTCCTTAAAAACCAAGTCCTAGTCTTGCAGACAAAACTTCAGCTGGGGTGGGAGATTAGCCTTCATTCAGATTAAAAACTGCCCTTGATTTGTCCTATCTTAGATTGCAAGTGGTGAGTCATTCAGCTGAAACCATAAGTCAGATCATACATTGCAGTGGCGAGAGAAGATTTGGACTAGTCCTTTCTAAGCATTTGTCCTAATGCAAGTAGTCCTTGTCTTACCACCACATCGAGCCCAAAGTTTCTGTTGCTAGGTGAGACAGTTGCTAAGTGAGCTTTGCCCCATTCTATGATCTTTCTTGCCACAGTTGTTAAGTGAATCACTGCTGTTGTTAAGTTAGTAACCCGGTGGTTAAGTGAAACTGCCTTCCCCGTTGACTTTTGCTTGTCTGAAGGTTGCAAAAGGTGATGAAGATCTGACCTTGGGGCACAGCAACAGTCATAAATATGAACCAGTTGCCAAGCATCTGAATTTTGATGAGGCACTATCCAGAACAGTCAATGTTCCATGAGATCTCAAGGCTTTTTTTTATTCCCTTCCATTCAGTCGTGTTCAATTCTCAGAGACAACCTGGACCAGTCCCTGCAGCTTTCTAGGCAAGATTTTCAGAAGTGGTTTGCCATTGACAATCTTCCTAGGGCAGTGATGGCAAACCTTTTAGAGATCGAGTGCCCAAAAACTGCCCACCCAGCCACCCACTGCCTCCCTAGACCGCCACAGATCACCCAGGCAGCCCTGCAGTGCCATAGCAGCCACGCCCTCCGTCTGCACCCCACAGCATCATCTGCATGCAATGGGGCATAAGGGCAGAGTCTTGTCCCCACTGCCCAGCCGCCATGTCCTTGGCTGCGCTGCTCCGTGCGGGCCGCTCTTGGGGGTGAATCTCCTCCGGGGGGCTGCTGGTGAGGTGGGGGCCACAGGGGAAGGTGGGGCTGGGGCGACAGCGCATGTGCCCACAGAGAGGGCTCTGAGTGCCACCTCTGGCATGCGTGCCATAGGTTTGCCACCACTGTCTTAGGGCTAAGAGAGAGGTGACTGGCCCAGTGTCACCCAGGAGGCTTTGTGTCTAAGGTGGGACTACAGTCTCTTTGTTTCTAGCCCGGTGCCTTTACCACTACACCAAAGTGGCTTTCAAGGCTTGAACCTCCTCAAATGAGGTTTTAATACAGATAGACTTTGACCTACAACCATTTGTTCAGTGGCCAGTGTTTACAACAGCACTGAAACAAGTGACATATGACCGTTTTTTCACACTGACAATCGTTGCAGCATTCCCATGATCACATAAATCAAACTTCAGACTTTTGGCAATTGGCATATATGTATGACAGTTGCAATGTCCCGGGGTCATAGGGTCACCTTTTGTGACCTTCTGACAAGCAAAGTCAATGGGGAAGCTAGAGTCACTTTGTGTTACTAATCTAACAACTCCAGCAATTCACTTAACAACAGCAAGAAAGGTTGTGAAATGGGTCAAAACTCACTTAACAACTCTCTTACCTAGCTACATAAATTTTGGGGTCAATTGTGGTCGTACGTTGAGGACTACCTATACTTAAAAAAAAAAAAGAGGGAACCATACCCACCATATCTCTGCTACTAGAACACAGCACAGTATGTCTCTTTTTCAGAGATCTTTCTTTTCTTAATGGCCTTAAATAATTATTTAACAATGGCTGTGAGGGTTGAGCTTCCCCCATTAGGAAGTGAAAAGGCATGAAAAATAATTTCCCTTATAATACAAGAGAAAGGCTCTTTCTGTGAAGAAAAGTACAAACCTAAAAAGGCCATTTATTACACAGCAGGCTTTGATCTGACCATATGGAAACTACAAAAAACACTGAGATTAAGGATAAGAACAGCCTCCTTTTAGACCAGATTGCTGGCTAGGAATTTTTGCAAAAGCAACCCAAATGCATCTGGAATCACCAAACCCAAAGGACTTGCAGTCTGAATCACCAAATTATATGTGCTCACATCTGAAATGCTCATTCTTCTGATGAGCTTTCGAAGGAGGGATGGGGAAAAACACGGCATTAATGATTCAGGGGCATTACATTCACCTAATCCAGGGGTCTTCAAACTTGGCCCTTTTATGACCTGTGGACTTCAATTCCCAGAATTCCTCAGCCAGGCACGCTGGCTGAGGAATTCTGGGAGTTGAAGTCCATAAGTCATAAAAGGGCCAAGTTTGAAGACCCCTGACCTAATCCATACCTACACACGCATAATAAACACCTGAGGCAAGGGGAGTCCTGCTTCCAAGGCATTCTTTGGAAAGTTTACTACTACTTTACTCATCTCATATAAAACCTTCACGTTGAGCTTGGCTCCTGGCTGCTGGGCCCTGTCTATGCCATTTACTAGGCAGCAGAATGGAAATGATTTGCCCTTGCCTTATTATGGGATTATTACTTCATTTTTTATTTGTTTTGTTATGGAACCACATGGGTTAATCCAGCTGGTTATCATTTGCTGAGACAAAAGAAACCTATAGCCTATCTACCATTGTGTTTAGGCTCCCCTTTGCATGGATCTTCCTTCAAATGTGAACAGTAGGGACAGAGCCAGAAAAAAGCCCATTTCCTTTTACATATTTACTATCTACATAGCGGCCCATGTTTGGATATAACGGGTCTGATGTGGTTTGGAGAAGTGACCAAAGTGGGCAAGTGATTTCTTTCAATCGTTTTCTTTTTTTTTCCCTCTCTGTTCTCACTAGTTCTGGACACTGCTGGTCAAGAAGAATTCAGTGCAATGAGAGAGCAGTACATGAGGACAGGAGATGGCTTTCTTATAGTCTATTCAGTCACAGATAAAGCCAGCTTTGAACACGTGGATAGGTTCCATCAACTCATTCTTCGGGTTAAGGACAGGTAGGTGCCCTCCAGCCTCTAGAAAAAATGTTTTTCAGTGTGGCCAATCCATGGTTTCAACTGGCAGTCATGTGTAGAAAACTAGAGATGTAAAATGTTGTTGAAGTGCTTTAGCTGCTACACTAGATGATGTTATTTGAGCGAACCATAAAACATCAGTTACTGTTTTGTGGAAGGATTTAAATCTGATATTCCCATACCAGCTGCAAAGATAGATTGTATTGATATTTCTTGTTCTTCTTTTTGTCTTTCAGAGAATCTTTTCCAATGATTTTAGTGGCCAACAAAGTTGATTTGATGCATTTGAGAAAAATCACCCAGGACCAAGGGAAGGAAATGGCAGCCAAGCACAATGTACGTCCCCTTGTTGTCTTCTCATCCTGTTCTGTGGCTGTGACTTGGAAATTGTCCAAGGGTGCTCACAAGGTGGAATAAAAATAGTCAGGGTGGTGACCATCAAATTGGCAAGTCACTTAAATCGCATGTCACAGTTGCCATCTTGACTTTTTTCACAATACCCTGCATATTTCTCTGATATTGTCCCTGACTCAAACTGTCCCCAGGATACCCTTTTAGAGTAAAATTGTTGTCAGAGCAGGAGGGATGTCATCAGTGGAATTAGAAAACAAATTATGAAGTGGATTTGGGATAAGCAACTTGATGGTGGCAAAGTTAAGGCAGGAAGAGTAAGTGTCTTTTTCCTTTACAGAATTGTAAATTCATTTTAATTCCACTGCAAAAAAAAAAATTCCTCAGAGGTTGCATGTCATGGAGTAGATCTGGAGTAGGAACTACTGAGGATCTTCTGGGTCCTAATCCCCTTTGTCACCCGTCTCCCACTATTCCCTTTAGCTGAGATGGGTTTAGAATCCAGAAAATCCTCAGCTCCATACTCTATAGGAGGATTGTTTGATATCATATCTGTCAGTGCCATAAAGAAAAGGATCAGAGACCAGTGGAGAAGGGAATGCTAAATTCCACTGCTGATCTAGAATCGTTTATGCATTGTTCTTACCCACAATCCTGTTCATTTTGCAAATATTTGTTTAAAAAAAACTAGTAAATAATGCATTTATGTCATTGCTTAAATGATATTTTGAGTATGTCAGATCTATTAGAAAAGCATAGCAACCCTCAGAGATACTGAACTGGTTTGTGAAAACTCCTCAGATATTTGTATACTGAGTTCATTACTTAAGAAGCAAATGGGAAACGACTATCTAGACATTGGGTGATTTAAATACTTCCCACTCACAATTTGAAGCTAGCTTGACAACATGCAAGTTTTCAGTGTACAGATATTGCAGAGAAAGTCTGAGATTTATTAGGCTCTAAAGGACGTTTGAAGGGAGGGGAAGGTGGGCGAAGTTTCAGTCAGACAGAAAGGCTCCATTTTAACAGTACCATTGCTTAGCATTTGCGATCTTAGTGCCAATATGCAGGGTCATAAAACCTCATTTAGAATACCATATATAGTTATGCCTGTCCCTTCTTCATCCCCTCCACCAATGAGAGAAAAAAAAATTGAGCAGAACTAGATACACTACACAAAGGTTATCCTTATAAATGGCCAACAAAAAGAATTACGTTAAAAACAAGCCTCTTTTTAACTTGGAAAAGACGATTGAGGGCACGTGCACACTGCATGCTTAAACTGGTACCTTTTTGTGAGGATACAGGCTTAACTTTAAGCTAATTTAAGAAAAACCTGTCTGTGCAGACACTTGGTCAGTGGCTGATAAGAAATTCAGTCTGAACTGGAAGGTAGCAGGGGCCTCCATTGGTCAATTCTACTGCAGCTCCACCTTCCCTTTCTCTGTTCCAGGAAAGTAATGGCCAGTTGCTTTTGTTTCCATGTGCTTTTTTTTACTGGAAATATATGCTTTTCTATGTTTGTGTTTGTAAATATACCAATCCACTCCTACACAAATATATGTTTGCAAAATTAAATAGACACACACATCCAAGCCTAAAGTATCAAAAGCACAGTTTTAACATAAGGAGGCCCATTTTGCATTTTCCCAGCTTTTCTTCCAGAAAGTCTGCTGTATGTTACAAGTCTTTCTCAGTGACTGAGTGCTTATTATATTTGTTTGAGATGCAGAATTGATATGTAGAATTCTACAGTTCAGATCCTGGTAAAAACATATTTTTAATTAGTGTTTTTCTTTTCCTGAGCAAACTATTTTTCTTACTGCGATATATATATATATATATATATATATATATATATATATATATATATATATATATATATATATATATATATATATATGTTTTCTGAGGTTTTCGCGGGTGTTTGTATGTAGGTCTTTGGTTATTCGCGTTTTCTCCCACGTAAAATTGGAAGTGTCTTGGCGACGTTTCGACGAAGTCTCATTCGTCATCTTCAGGCTGGTGCTTTTGGCTTCGTGCTTCTAGGAGCATTGCAGTATAGCAGTTAAAAAATGTCAAGGTGTAATCAATTAGACATCTGTCTGAAAAACTTCCTGCATATATATATGTACTTCCCCTCTCTTTTGGGGGATATACTGTTTTATTGTTTTTTTCAGTCATTTGAAGTAGAAATTGAAGAACTTTACTCCCAACTCTCAGCATTCACATAGTGCTACTCCAGTTATTCCAGCTCTCAACTCTGGGTATATAAAGGCAGTGATGTGAACTGCTTTCACCCAACAAGTATTCTTGGTTTTGTAATTTTGGAGGGAAATCCATGAACATGAGACCACTATGAAAGCTTGCAATGCTGTGCCCCTAAAAAACAACTTTATACAAGACTATAAAAGAAGCTTTTGAAAAATTGCCCATACTTCTTTCTTTATTAACCTTTTCTATAGCAATGTACAGATAGTCCTTGACTTACAACTGTTCATTTAGTGACCCTTTGAAGTGACAATGGCACTGAAAAAAGTGACTTAGTGACCGGTTTAACACTGTTGCACCAACCCCTGTGGTCACGTGATCAAAATTCAGATGTTTATTTATTTATTTATTTATGAGACTTATATACCACTTTAAGTGCAAGCACTCTCTAAGCTGTGTACACCAGTAAGCAATGTATATATATATATATATTTACATTGCCCCCAACAATCTGGGTCCTCATTTTACCTACCCCGGAAGGATGGAAGGCTGAGTCAACCTTGAGCCGGTGAGATTTGAACCTCTGACCTGCTGAACACAGTCAGATGTTTGGCAACTGGTTTGTATTTACGATGGTTGTTGTGTCCCAGGCTCATGTGATCACCTTTGGTGACCTTCTGACAAGCAAAATCAATGGGGAAATCGGAGTTATTTAACAACCGTGTTACAGTGATTCATTTAACTGTGGCAAGAAAGGTCATAAAATGGGACAAAATTCACTTAACAAATGTCTCACTTAGCAAAAGAATTTTTGGGCTCGATTGTGGTCATTAGTCAAAGATTACCTGTAAATGATGACCCCTCTGAATAGTTTTATTTTTCTACATCCCAGGAATTCAGCCTAGGGGAGAAAAAAACCCAATACCCTAACTTAGCATACAAAACAGTCTCTTTTCCTGTTTTAAATAGCATTTGCACTGTGCTTTCCCATATTTCTTACACTAAATGTGCATAGTATCTATGTAAACATCACTGAGCCTTTGTTTTCCAGATTCCATATATAGAAACTAGTGCTAAGGATCCTCCGCTGAATGTTGACAGAGCCTTCCATGATCTTGTTCGAGTAATCAGGTGAGCTATCCCACTATTAAATCGGTATGGTACTGATTCGGCTTCCACTCATATATCATGACTCAAACTTACTTTAGAAAGAATAGTTCATGAATCATTCACTAAGCATTAGTTTTCAGCCTCAGCCATAGACCCTATTTATTTAAATATTTATTCATACATTTTTTACTTACCAGGAAATCTGTAATGATTGTTATTTTTAATCCATATTTATCTTGGACAAATAAAACTTTCAAAGAATAACATCAAAACATAACCATCATATTCTATGGCAGGGGTGTCAAACTGCCAGCCCACAGGCCAGTTGCGGAGGCAATGCAAAAAAAGTCGCAACACATCATGTGATACAGTGAGTTTGACACCCGTGTTCTATGGCAATAAGGCTTTTTTTATTTTAAAATCTTAATAGTCTAAGAGGACTAAAAGATTCCCATTCCTAAATAATTGAGACATTAAGTAAAGCAGCCTTCCCCCCCCCCTTTGGAACAAAAACCTTTTTTGAATGAAGGCGAATATACATGTCCCAGGATAATGTTGCAGGATCCAATCTGGGTCGAAAACTGGGACCAGAGTTTCTGTCTTCTGAGCTTTTGGACTCTTGTACTGGAGCCCATCTAGAGAAAAGTTTCCTGAAGATGGGCTGCTAGAGAGAAGTTCCCTAAAGATGTGCTCCAGCATAAGTCTGAAAGCTCGGAAGATAGATCCAATCTGGTGACCGACCCAGATTGGATCCTACAAAAATCTCTTTGTCCATCTCTGAATAGGTTGAACCAACGGACAAATATCACAGGTTTGATGTCCTTCCAAACATTAAAAGAAGCTATTCCACTGAAAACCAAATAAAATTTGTCCCTTTTTGTGTGTGTAAAAAAGAAAAATGAAACTTCGGGGAACTGATTGACCTATCACTGTTTCAAGGCTTAATGCTAAACCAGGATTTTGAAGTTTTGAGTTTTATAATAAGAATTCTTCTGTTACCCTAATCTGGACTGGATATGAGAACTTCAGGTTCACGTTTCTGACCGCACTAAGCCCAGCCCACACACTCCAAAAGGAAGAAATAGTGTTACAGGTGAATATGGTGTATAAACTAAGCCTGGGAGAATCTGTGTTTGTTTTCAGAATGTTTGATCTTTCTAAGAAGCAAGCAAAATCTCTGAGAAGCAAGCTAAACATTCTGAAAAGCAAGCAAAACAACCATAGAAAGCCCAGCCAGATTATGAAGTGAGACTGGCTGGAAATATATATATATATATATATATAGGAGAGGTGAAGAGAATTCCCCCAAGAGGCTTTTTAAAACCTGTTCGTGGCTGACCTTAGCGATCAAGACAAAATTTCATTCTTGAGCCACCTCTTATGATCACATATCTTCTGGCAAACATAACCCTTCATTGTGCTAAGCAGGTTTGTAGCAACCTCCACCCTGAAGCACCAAGGGGGCAGGATGTTTTAGCAATCGTGTCCCGACCCATTGCTCTTCTTATATATAGAAGAAACTAGCCACCTTTCCTCAAAGGGTCATTGTTCTGCTTTCCAAACTTCATTAATCAAAGGGCTTTAGCTGTGATGTGACATCTGACACTAGATGCTTTGCATGTATACATTCTTATTTTTTGAAAAACGGGGGGGGGGGAGAGAAACATACTAATTATTTGAGCCAAGAAAGTTACACACCCTTGCCTTGCAGTTGTATTCTCAGGAAGCTTTCCTAGAATAGGGCCTTCTCTGACTTCCAGCCTTAGCTACACAAAATAGATAGTGTAGCCTTGATGTCTGCAGGATACAAGTTTTTCAGTCATTGCACATTCTTCTGGCTGTTTCTAGTTGGCAATGAAGGAATGCAAGGGAAGAGAGATTTAGAGGTCAAGAAAGCTTAATAAACACTGCTTAGTTTAGCCTGGCACTTAAAAAAACAGCATTATAGTTGCATTATATCATTGTACAGTTTTATTTTTGTTTTTGTTTCAAGAAAAATAATATATAGTAAAGTCCTTACATGCCTCATAAACAGCTTTGGGGCACTTTCTTGCTTCTTATGTTCGCCAATTTGAAACAGGACTTGCCCACAGAAGTTAGCAGAGACTGGGGCAGGGGTAGTTAGTGAGTGGATGAGAACAGAAGGACAACTTTACTGTAGTTTCTTTGGTTTGAGGTTGTGGGTAATCAAGCTGTCAACGAAAACCATCTTTCTAAAACTGGAAAGTACATCATATGGGCTACACTTGGTTTCACCAAAATGTTTCTAACTTAATGTTCTTCAGATGGATTCAACAATTTGCAGAATTTGGGGAAAGTTGGAAAAGGCTGCTAGAGGTTCTCTAGTGTAGATCAGTATTGACTACATGGTGTCTTTCAAATCTAAAAATGCAAGTAGTCCTCAACTTACAACAATTTGTTTAGCGACCATTCGAAGTTACAACAGTACTGAAAAAAAATGACTTATGACCATTTTTCACTCTTATGACCGTTGTAGCATCCCCATGGTCATGTGATCAAAATTCAGACCCGTGACAACTAACTCGTATTTATGACAGTCGCAGTGTCCCGGGGTCATGGGATCACCTTTTGTGACCTTCTGACAAGCGAAGTCAATAGAAAAACCAGATTCACTTAACAACTGTGGCAAGAAAGGTTGTAAAGTGGGGCAAAATTCACTTAACAAATGTTTCACTTAGCAACAGAAATTTTGGGCTCAGTTGAGGTCATAAGTCGAGGTATATCTGTAGTCCCATCGATACCCAAGATGAATTAAAAAGCAATGAAATCTCATGCAGTTTTAACAATCTTGAGTAAGAATGCAAAACGTACATGGGATGCTTTGCAGTCACATTATTCTTACAAAGATTTTACAAGAATCTGCATTCTTGCATGTGATTTCGGTGATCTCAATCTGAGTTCTCATGAAATAGTAGGAGATTTAGTGGATGGTCTTCAGGCTTGAAAATACTGCTGACTACTAAATGAATGATCAGTTCAGTCTTTTTAAATCATATCAGATGAAATTGTGCACAGATTTACTTTGGGGTTGATTTTCTTGAGATCAGTCGAAATTAACTTTTTAATAGTTACATATATTCCCTTGTGGCGTCTCATGTTTTCAATAGGTTATTTTTATCTGCTCATGCTAAGGATAGATACACTCACAAGTACTACTGATTTTCTATTATGGGGCTTACTGAACAGACTGCAGCTGGAATTGAGACTGGTTGTCTTTTTATTACAGTGGAACAGTGGGTTTAAAATATATCTTTATAGCTTAAAATGTAGGTGTTTTAGATAGATACAGTACATACACTGTCTGGCTGCCCATAAAACTATAAAAATTAAATACTGTATCTTTTTGCTGCAGCCACTAATTCCAAACTGCAGAAATAAATTTGTCCGTCCATCCATCCATCCATCCATCCATCCATATTGATTCTGCATAAGCTGAAAGTGGCATAAACTCTTTGTCTGTATTTAATTTCCCTTTGAGATTTTCATAGCAAAATTTTCTTTTGTCCTTCCAAAAAGTTTTTGCTTTAGAAAATTCATGTTTAGGCTTTAGAATCCCTATAGAAACTTTGGATCAAACCAGATATGGCATTCAGTCACTTGAGACTAAGTAGAATTATGAGATTCATATTGCACTAAGCCATGTTTACTTTTATCTTCGTATGATATGCACCTTAGGTCAGTGAAAAAAAGACATGGTTTATTTTAAGACAAGGAACCATAATGTGAATAATGAATCTTTATTAGTTTGTTGGTTCTAACTATTAGAATAACTATTAGCATAAAGTAAGAGCAGCAAAAATAGTATTGGGGAAAAAACATGGATTGCTAATCAAACCATGATAACTTTGAGTTACCTTGATGTGTGAATACAGGATTTTCCTTTAGTCTTTCATCTCCAATTCTTTGGGGAGTCATAATTTTTCCTCACAGTTCCTTTTAGTTTTCTGCCTGCAAAGGCTGCTACAATTACTGCTTTAGTTTTGACATCAAAATAATCAATTAATGTAACAAACACCAATTAGAATAGAGCTGGAAGGGATCTTGGAGCTCTTCTAGTCCAGGGGTGTCAAACTGCTGGCCTGCGGGCCAGACGCATCATGCGGAAGCTGCGCCCACCTCATTGCCGGCAATGGCAAAACTCTCCCAATACGTTGCACGATGTCACGCGATATCACGAGTTTGACATGTCTGTTCTAGTCCAACCCCCTGCTCAAGCAGGAAACCCTATACCATTTCAGACAGGTGGCTGTCCAGTATTTTCTTAAAAACCTCCAATGATGAAGCATCTTCAACTTCTGAAGGCAAGCTATTCTCAGTGATTAATTGTCCTCACTGTTAGGAACTTTCTTCTTAATTCCAGATTGCTTCTCTCCTTGAGTAGTTTTCATTGTTTCTTGTCTTGCCTTCTGGTGCTTTGGAAAATAAGTTGTGGCAGCCCCTCAAATACTGGAATACTGCTATCATGTCACCCCTAGTCCTTCTTTTCTCTAGACTAGCCATACCCAATTCCTGCAACTGTTCTTCATATGTTTTTGTCTCCAGGCCCTTAATCATCTTAGTTGTTATTCTTTGCCCTTTTTCCAAAGTCTCAACATCTTTTTTGTAATGTGATGACCAAAGTAAGGTTCTTGATTCAGCTGGCTTCTCTGTTCTCTGTGGTTCTGATCAGTTACTCTGTTCCCTCTGCAGGACACAAAGATGCCATCTGCTTATTTGTGTGACACTGTGCTTTTATTCTGTTTTCTATCTGATTTTGTGAGCTGCCCAGTCTCATTTTGGAGTCAGGTGGCGGGCGCCTAAATCCAATAAACAAATAAATAAATAATAACTCATGTGCAAGCTGTTCAGGAAAATAGTTTATTCAACTTCAAAGGCTTTCCAATGCTAAAGAGAGAAATCTTAACGACAGAGCTTCTGCTTTGCCTGCAGAGTCAAGACTCCTGGGGTAGATAGACCAATGGGCTCCATAGTGGGGAATCTATGTAGCTGACAAATGTTTTTGGATGGGGGGGTTGTGTTCCTTGCTTCTCTTTCTGGCAGATATTTCATTACTAGCCTGGAAATGAAAAGACTGCAAAAGGAGACCAAGCTCAAGAACGCAAAAAGCCCAACAGACTAATGCTCTGGCTCTGTAGATGGCAATTCTCAATGTAGCTAATATCTATGTTTCTAGCTTAGTGGAATTATTTAGCACTATTAAAATGAGGCATCATATTTTAGCCTCAACTGTACTGGGTTCCTTATTGCAACCAGGTTTGTTGACTACAGTTGGAAGGTTCATACACTCTGATGTCCTGTGAACATTAGTTGACAAACCATGTTAAGACAAAAGCAGACAAAGCACATTTTGGTTCTGCATGCAAAATCAGTCTAAATCATCAGACAAGCATGATGTAATTAAACTTTTCTCACAGGAGGAAAAAAATGCTCCTTCAAGGAGGGAGGGAGAATGTTTGGTTCATTCACCACTTTTGTAATGGAAATCACCCACCGCCACAACTATTGTGTGAGTTCTGTGCCCAGGACTTCTTAGCTCCTGGTTCTAGTTCTAGCTATAGCTAGAACCAAGAACTAAGGTGTCCTAGGCAGATGTCTAATTTTAGGCATAGAATCAAGTTCATGCGAAGTAATATTACCGCTTTATAAAGCCCTAGTAAGACCACACCTGGAATATTGCAGCCAATTTTGGTCACCATATCACAAAAAAGATGTTGAGAGCTTGGAAAAAATTCAGAGAAGAGCAACTAAGATTATCAGGGGCCTGGAGACTAAAACATATGAAGAACGGCTAAGGGACTTGGGTTTGGCTAGTCTAAAGAAAAGAAGAAATTGGGGAGACCTGAGCTCCAGTATCTGGGGCTGCCACAAGGCACAGGGGGCCAGTTTGTTCACCAAAGCACCAGATGGAAGGACGAGAAACAACAGTTGGAAACTGATCAAAGAGAGAAACAACCTGGAATTGAGGAGAAATTTGCTGACAGTGAGAACAATCAATCAGTGGAACAGCTTGCCTCCAGAAATCATGGACGCTCTATCACTGGACATTTTTAAAAGGAGACTGGACATTCACCCATCTGAGATGGTATAGGTTCTCCTGCTTGAGCAGGCGACTGGACTAGAAGACCTCCAAGGTCCCTTCCAGCTCCTATTCTATTCTATTCTATTCTATTCTATTCTATTCTATTCTATTCTAATATATAATATATTATTGACTGCTGACTGCCAGCAGTTCAGTCCTGGCCGGCTGAAGGTTAACTCAGCCTTCCATCCTTTCAAGATTGGTAAGATGAGGACCCAGATTGTTGGGGGCAATATGCTGACTCTGTAAACTGCTTAGAGAGGGCTGTGAAGTGGTATATAAGTCTATATGCTATTCTATTGCTATAGATAATAAAATGTCTAGTTCTAGAATTAAAATTCCAGTTCTAGCTAGTCCTTCAATCTTAAAAGCAGTACTGATATATCTTCTATGTTCCCAAACAGGCAACAGGTTCCAGAAAAGAACCAGAAGAAGAAAAAGACCAAGTGGCGAGGAGACAGAGCAACTGGTTCCCACAAACTGCATTGTGTGATTTTGTGACTGTCTCTCCCTGTGTTTTTCTGGGGGGTTTTCCCATTCCAACTTGAACCTAAAGAAACAATTGTACAACCTAACTGCAACTTGACTTTTCAAGGAAACAGTTCCTGCCCAAAAGAGCTCAAAGGGAAAAGTTCTGGGCATTTTTGAGTTTCAGCCACACGATTATTTGGCAAACGATGCAGAATGGTTTTACCTTTAAAAAAAGAAAAGAAAAGCATGTTACTCCAAAACAGGGGCAAAACAAAACCCAGGTTTTATGACTGTTGGCCATTTCAATAGTCATTATCTTAAAATTACTGGGGTGACTAAAAATGTTTTATGTGCAAGCATTCCTAAGGGGACCTTACTTCTAAAGAGTCACTAATGGCTTTACTTAGTACTGAGCGTCTTGTCAATCAGGGTCAATATTTCCTTTCTTGGCAGAATTTCCTTTTGCACTGGATTCCTGGTATGTCTTCAGTGATGCAAATCATGTATATGTGTGTCTGTGTGTGTATACAAAAGAAGCTGGTGTGTAGCCAGATCTTTATAAGGCAGTGCCAGCAAAAAGGATGAAGAAACATGAGGGGGAGGGGTTGTCAGTCCCCATCCGGGTTGTTCAACCTATGTGCAGGTTGTGTTTTGTCAGTGAAAGGTGGCTCTGAAAAGAGTGAGAGGGCAGCCATTTTGCTAGTCCTGAGAAGTATTTAAATTAAATGGTTATTTGCAAATAATAAATATTTGTAAATTTTGTTATTTACTTTTGTTATTTTGAAGAAAAGAAACATGGATAAAATGTTGATGTAGGTATAAACTGAACACATGATGCCTGGCTATGAAAGTGCTGATTCTGTAGTTTCTGCAGTTTTCGTGGCAAGAGTTTTTGGAAGTGGTTTGCTGATTCTGTGCTGGTTGATACTTTTGGCCTTTTTGTTTAAGCCCCATAATGTAACACCAGTTTTCCCATTATAGCTCTTTCTGGATAGCTTGGATTTTTATTTGGAAACAGAAAATGTCTTCTTCAGTAAAACAGTTGCTGTTCTCATGCTATTAATACAGTCTTATATTCAGAAGTTTTGCCTCTACTTCTAAAACTCAAGGATTACAGTATTTAATGCTTGGACTTATATGTAGGTGCAATACAACTGCATGTATTTTTCATGTAGGTTCCATCTGAGTCATAATCTTTTTAAAATGGAAAGGATTCCATGCTACTCTATATTCAGGAAGATATTTTCATAAACATACTGTCAGGCAGCATGGTGGATAATGGAATGATGTATATTGATCCATATCATGTATATTGTATATGTATATTGATTCATATTAACCACTTCATCAAGTTGGCTGAAAATGATCAGTGGTGTTCAAACATGATGCACGTATCTTTGTATTCAGAAATGAGATAGCAGAAGAACCACAATGTACTTGAAAGCAAAGGAACTAGGAAACAGGTTCCAAGCATTGGTAATCATTGTATCAAGTGTTTCAGAGATTTAGTTTTATTCTGGAGACTAAACAATACCACATTTTATTCCTTTATCAGATTGCATCATAAGGAAATGGGGCGCAAATTATAGCACAGTATGATATTTGAAGCAGTATAGCACAATTAAGACGTCAAGCTGTCCTGCCAAAGTTTATTTTTTTGTTCCAAATGTTACCTATCTTAAAGAACGAACGTAATTTAGATGAATGGCAAAAAGGTATTAATAAATTTGTTTGGGCAGGGAAAAAACCAAGGGTGAAACTTAAAATAATGCAAGATTTTAGGTGGATCAAGGTACCAAATATGAAATGTATGATGTAGTATTGACATTGATTAGCGATGAATTTAACAAATACAGAAATATATTTTGGGACCTATTTTTTGGATGGCATGCCTATTTAATATTTAATAAAAAAGTGGATTGAGTCTCATATTATAAGAAACTCTTTGCACTTCATCAAGTTGGCTGAAAATGATCAGTGGTGTTCAAACATGATGCACGTATCTTTGTATTCAGAAATGAGATAGCAGAAGAACCACAATGTACTTGAAAGCATTTGGATAAGGAACTAGGAAACAGGTTCCAAGCATTGGTAATCATTAAGTATCAAGTGAATTTCAGAGATTTAGTTTTATTCTGGAGACTAAAGGACAATACCACATTTTATTCCTTTATCAGATTGCATACAACATAAGGAAATGGGGCGCATATATGCTTTATAGCATTCATGTTATGATATTTGAAGCAGTATAGCACAATTAAGACGTCAAGCTGAAATTGGAAAGGTTCAAATTCAGGTCCCTCATTAAACATAACTTTCACTGGATAATCTTGGGCCAGATAGACTTTCTGCCTACTCCATATCCCTACTAAACCAATGGGAATTACTAGCATACATGTTTTGTTTCGAATTCAACCAACGTCACGCCCTCCAGGTATCTGTTGAATTATGTCTGCCATGCCTCTAGCCTTTACTAGTAAAAATGATTCTGTAACTCTGGCTTTAGACACAAAAACTTAGTATACCTTGTTTGGGTCAGGTTAAAGCCCATCTTAATCCAGCATTTGGTGTCTCATAATGGCTTACCAGACACTTCTGAACTACATACTGCACAAAAGTGATGGAAACATATCTCTCTTCCACATTCTCTCTACAACAATTATTTGGAGGTAATTATTACCCAGAGGTAATAATGAGACTTCAAAAATCAAGAGCCTTAAAATCAGGGGTCTCAAACTGCCAGCCCGCGGGCCGGTTTCATCATACCGAAGCCGCGCCCAACCCATTGCTGGCAATGCAAAAAGAGTTGTGATACTTTGCGACACATCACGTGACATGGCGAGTTTGACACCCGTGCCTTAAATAGAACTGTCCTACATGAATTTTTCCAATCTTTTTTTTAAAGCCATCCAAATTAGTGGCCCTCATCCTGTCTTATGATAATAAATAGATGGAGACCACTTTTAAAACTGCTGGCATGATATACAGCTCTGGGGAGCAAGCCGCTGCTCTAATTAATGTTGTGTGAATTACACCCGCACATATATAGACTTTGGATAAAGTGCATAATAGTGGAGGAAAACTCCAAAAGTATGCAGTGAGAGAATACAAATATATACAGAATTCAGGGCAGAGCAAACGGTCCAGAGAGAACAATTGTTCTTATGAACTGCAGCTCTGGGCTTAGTTGAAGCCAAATTATAAAGAGAGCTTTCAGTGCACACGTAAGAGAGGTTCACCCATTCCATGCTGGTTTTTCCCCCTTTAAAGCAACTGTTCTGCCAGATGAGAGTAATGAATATGCAGCAGTTCATGGGAATAGCCTCTCTGGCAATTAGCACAAGGGCTGATGTGGAAAGAGGGCAGGCAGACAGACCCTCTTTGCATCTCAATAACGGGAGCACCTCTGCTGTTGTAGCTGAGTGGTGGAAACCAGCCAGGAAGTCTGGCACACACTTCTGGTACAAACAGACCCTTGTATGCCTATTTCCCAATGAAAGCTGGTGTGGGTGTGGGCATGTGTGTAAAATACAAATGCAAAGCACCGAAACAACTGCAGGAAATTCAGAAGGAGAACTGATACCCCAACCCTTCTCACGCCATTGTGGAGAAGGAACAAAACACAATGATGTGATTTGGAGAACCAGCAGCTCCTTTCTTTCTTTTTTGACCTTCCTGTTCTTGGTCACTTGGATTGAGCTGAATTCCCATCACTTCTACATGTTCAAGAAGTATGGGGGGGGGGAAATGCTTCCATCTTCTCATAATTTCAGCTACTATGATGGGGTGGGGAGAACATCTGACCATTCCCTTGATTAAACATAAGCCATGTGTAAGGAAATAATGTCTAAGAAAAATTAAGAAAAAAAGGAAATGGTATATATGCTAGCTTAAGCTTCTGGAGGAAAGGCAGAGCATCCATTTAGGATAAAATATATTTTCCTGCTGACACAAAATTCAGAACTTAACAAACCACCTGTTATTCCTAAAAATAAAAAAGCTTGTGTAATCTTTCATGTGGGGAAGATTTAATGAGAAATCCCCTTGTAAAGCCAAGAAAATCACATAAGCAGAATCAGAGTAGAGCCAGTGGTCCAGAGAGAAAAATATCAGCATCAGTAAAAAGGAGTTTATGGAGGGGGAACCAGGAAAAGTGGCAATTGCATGTACAGAATTACAAATAATTCAGCACAGTCCATCTAATTTATTTGTTACATGTATCTTGGGTTTCAGGGCATCCTCAATTCCTTGTAGAGAAGATGGTTTGAGAGAGGACATTGGGACTTCTTGTAGTGAACTTAAGCAGGATCTCACTAATAATGCTTCTTCCCACTATCCTACTTATTGAAAATGGATGATACGTGAAGAAGCAGCTTTTTCAAAAACAAAAACTGAATTCCCTTTATTCAGGCTTCTTAGTCTGCAGCCAACCAATCAGATATTTCAGGAGATGATGCCAAAAACTAGAGATTGTCATAACATCTTGTATTCCAATATCAGAGGGTGGTTTTCTGCAAAGCATGAGTTATGTTTTTGCCCAAAATGACCTCTAAACAAGCCATCAACAATCAAACAAAGTCTCGTCTAGTGTGCCCTGGCTGCTGCTGTGCCATTTGGTGCTTGGAGATTCTGTGGACCAGAGTAGCCATAATACAGAGAAGGGTGAGAAAGGATAGGCTACATCTCCACTTGGTTCCCAGAAATGGAACTTGTGAAGCCATCAGAAGATAGCACTGTTGCTGCCCACTCAAGTTTATTACTTGCCATTCACAAATTAGCATGTTTTCGTGCTTCCCTTGTCTCTCACTACATATTAAAGAGAAGCCACAGGACATTATTGAGCCTGTTTTTAGTTTAATATGGTTCATGGATGAATGTCTATGCTCCACTAATTTTATTCCTTTCTAAAATACTTTAACCAACTTATTCTTAAAAGACTCTAAGCCATATGAAAACAGAAACAAGCCATTGCAAAAATAAATACAAAGAAATGGCAGATATGTCCTGTTTACTTGGATTGGGTGGGAGAGGCAGCCTTGTAGCTATGCAGCCCTTGAGCCATTTTGGATTTTATAGGTAAGAGCCAGCATCTTGAATGGCATTCAGAAACAAACTGATAAGTCAATACTACTCTCACTGCAAAGATATTACATAACAATAATAAGAATATCCCACCCGCATTTGAATGTATCTGAGTAAGAATGTGTGTATGTTTGTTATATTGAAAGAAGAAACCAGATACCATCTACTATACTTGCATTGAATTACTGGTGCATTTTTTAGCTCTATGGCATATGCAATACCAATCCTTCAGTTCATTAGAGGTTTCTGCCATGTGTTCCTAAGCATCAAGATCGAAAGCGTGATCCAGTTACAGTTACAGTTTCAAATCCATTTGAATGAAAAATGTGTTTGAGCAAGATCCAGGGGCACCTCTAGCAATTTTGCTTTCTGTTTTAGTTGAGCTAGAAGTCCAAAAAACAAAAAAGAGAAGCAGCTGATTTGGGGAGCCATAAACAGGCAGCCATTTTTAGCTATTTCATATATTTGGGGTAGAAAAACGTTCTTATACAATCATCAGCCTCAGGGTCTAAATAAGCTGGGTCTGTAGACTTTGCTCATGAGCTAAATGGGGAGGATTTATAAATCAGGCTTGTCTCCCATCAGCATTGATGACAAGTATGCCAGCTACAACCAAGATCCAGATAATATGTGGTGCTTGTTCCAAGTTATTATGTTTTAGTTCTTCATTAACAGATAGCTAC